GCATCGCTACTAGTAACAAGGTGCATCGCTACTAGTAACAAGGTGCAACAAGGTGCATCGCTACTAGTAACAGGGGCATCGCTACTAGTAGCGTCTTGTTACTAGTAGTAATGCCCTGGCTCCTACTAGCGATGCCCTTTGCTCCTAGTAGCGTCCTTGCTCCTAGTAGCGATGCCCTTTGTTGCTACAACTTGGGACAAATTCACATCATTGCTACTTCCACAATCCGACTGAACATCCCTATGATGATCTCCAGGCATGTGTAGGTGGTGAGCTTGTTTTGCAAATAATTTACAATAGTTCTCAAGTCTGTGTCTGGGATCCTTCTTCCGCTCACTGCCAGCACAGTCGACTAAGACCAGCATGCCCGCAGTTTGAAAGAGGCGAATGATGCAAACAGCATGGCTGCGGGAGCTGACGGCATTGGCCTCACGCGCGACACAGTCAACTGAGGTGGGATTTACCGTCCAAAGACACAACATTGAATTGGTGGCCTTGACGCGATATGTCGTGAATGTGGGAACGAAGCCAGGGACAAGGTCTTAAGGGAACAAACTGCCTGATGGTAGGAAGGGCCCACTGGCAAAGTCGGAGGATCGATGCAGCCGCGTCACTCCGGTTGCTGAGGTTTTTCGCCTCGCATGCCCCGTTTCAAGCACCACGCGCATGTCTTCGTTGTCTCGAGGATAGAGCTCCATAGCACCTGTCACAAAAATGTCCATCATTGATCATCACAATGAGCCAATGAAATGCACGGGCAAGCATGCCAAAATGACACAAAAGTTGTTGCTATCCGTGGAGATAGGTTCTGACTTCCAATATCCAATATCATCTATCATGAATCTCGCCGAGATATGAAGCTCATCAAGATTGAGAAATCCAACATGAGCGGCGTCAAAAACCATCCGGAACTTTTATTAAGATTGCGAGAACCTTTCGCCAATCCCTTCGCAACGCTTTCGCGGCTGCATGTTTTGCTTTCGCTGACCCGCCTCACCCAAAAACCTCTTTCGCTAACCCTTGCACCGAGTGTCTGCTACTTACATCTAAGAAAAGTATCAGCAAAGGGGAATCATTCCTAATCTGCAACCACTGCTTTCGCCACATCTTCGCAAACCTTTCAAAATACCCTTCGCCTGGTCATAAGGACCATTTAGATGACATGCTTTGTACTGAAAACCTCTTTCGCCAATGCTTTCACAACAAAGTCCATTCATCGAAAAATCAGAGCCTTTCTCCAAACCTTTCGCCAAGCTTTCCCCAACTGCGGTTTTCCTTTCGCAAAGATTCATAATCTTAAGTCCTACGTAAATTCTTTCATAGAGGTTTATGACGTTGCTCACATAGTAAATAAAAACAAGCAATAGTCTACAGTCAATGAAGTGTTCTTGACAAAAACACATTAAATGACTGTGAAGGCCATGGCTACTAGGTTGGAGGCCATCGCTCTTAGGATGGAGGCCACCGCCAGCAGGTTGGAGGTAATCGCTCTTAGGAAGGAGGTCATCACTAGCAGGTTGGAGGCCATCACTTTTAGGATGGAGGCCATTGCTAGTAGGTTGAAGGCCAACGCTAGTAGGTTGACGCCATCGCTAGTAGGTTGGAGGCCGTCGCTCTTAGGATGGAGGCCATCGCTAGTAGGTTGGAGGCCACCGCT